CCACTTCTTAATAAGGAAAACACTGACTGTGATGCAGGACTCGGCTAATAGCAGGATATCACAGCGTAATATTGTTCAGCAACACGTTGACACGGCAAGCCACTTATTTTCCTCTAATTAACAACCTGACAATGAAATTCGTCTCACTGGTTACACTTCCCAGTGTGGTTATTTCCTGACATCGCCACCCAACAATTAAATTAGCGCCTGCCCATCACAACCCAAAGTGGAAGGACAACTGAGTCCCGATTTAAAATAACTTGCTGCTGTGTTAATGAGAAGGAATGAACGACACAGCCTTTCACTGGTGCTGAATGTCCGCCGCCTCCGTCAACATGCGAAGAACATAGAGAGCTCATTTAAAGCGACATTAGGCCATTCTACACGCTAATTACTTTCAATATGTGACAAAGAGCTGGGAGGGGGTGGGCTTTCAACCGTCCCTCGGCATCACCATGCTGAGCGATAAGGGCTTCGATAAGCAGAAAGAAACTATTAATTAGCACGCATGGATTCATACTGTCCATGGGGTTTGTTTATCCCATTAATGTCATTCTTTCTATTTCATTTCAGAGAGTCTGCATAGTGGAAATTTGCTTTATTTTCAATGCTATTTGTTTTTTCTACATCTTCTTCCACTAAAATGGACGAATTTGTGGGATTATGACGCGAGATAAGAGGAAGCTTTCATCAGCGTGGAGGTATATTAATGAGTGAAATGTGCACTAAAGCCTGTACTAAAACACACATATTACAAAACTGATTTGCATGCAATTTGTGGCCGCCTGTGCAACGTTTATCTGGCAACAAGAGGGCGTTCAAAAAGATGAATTGAAGCTGATACGTCTACTGCAATACTCCAGTTCAGAGATCACACCTCTGTATCGCTTCTATAAAATGGAGAGGCCTAATGCCAGCAAATAAGACATGGCTATCAGGGGTGCAGGCTCACAGCTTCCAGATCACAGCCGCAGATAGCTCAGCGTGCTGTCCATCCACATCAAAGAACTGCTGATCCCTACAAGGTCCGAGGTCCTGCAATAACCTGCATCAACAATCAGTGGGGGTTTCTCCACAGCCAGGGGACGTATCAAAGCAAGCCTGCATTGCTAACTGTGTCAATAATTACTCCGTGTCATAGGAGAATAAAAAGCAAATAGTGCTGCACTTTACAGCTCCGGCCCACTCAGTCTTCTCCTTTCTGGCTAATATTTTTGTTTTTCTCTCTTTGGACTATTGCCTCTAACCTATTTTGGTAGATCAATAAGCTGAGGTGAGGTGAGGCGAGCCTGAGTGGGAATGCTGTCAAAGACGGATGGTTAGACAGGAGGGTAGACGGGACTCGGCTAATTCCTATGCCTTTCACCTTTGTTTATGAAAAAAAATGCTACTTACACTCACCTAAAGAGTCTGCGGACATGAAAACAAGACAGGCTACCCTGCCTAAGGTGAGGATACAGAGTTCAGCTGTGCAATTTGAAAGCTCTGTGTACTTTCAAAGGGCAACAAACTTTTCCGTTGATAAAGTCAAGGCTGCCCCTCTGCTTTCCCCCACCAGCCTCCACAAATGGTGAGCTAACAAGCTGCTCTCTCTCTCTAAAAGCTGGACATGACAACTCTTCTGTGAAATCGTAATCCTGGAGAGGCAAGTTTACAGTGTACCTTTGATATCTTGATGTGAGGCATTCTTAGCCAGTACCCCCGCCCCGGCTAAAAGATGAGGTAGATATTTTGCCTCTGTTGTGTGAAATCTATGATGTGAAATGATTTAATTAAGATAGGCCGAGGAGTCATAATTAATTCTGCCTCTCTCCGACTCAGGCTTACTGTCAAGAACACAGGGAAAGGCTCAGGCAGAATAAATTACAGGGTTGTGTGTGTGTGTGTGTGTGTGTGTGTGTGTGTCTGTGTGTGTGTGTGTGTGTGTGTGTGTGTATGTGTGTTTCCCCCTATCTGAGGGGGTAATGGGTGTGAAGTGCTTAGTTACTGTATTCTCCCAGAGCTGACAGAGAGTTATGTCAATTCTTTAGGAAGAGGTAGTGTTCTCAAAGTGTAAGAGAGCCCGCTGGCAATTTTTTTCAGGCGTCCCACCGTCTTAGATCAAATCACATTTCAGTCCAGGAGTTTATTTTGTCTGTCAGTGAGGAGCATCCTCTGGGGAGCACTGTCGGTGACAAATGTGAAATTGAAGGATTCACGCCAAATGGGCTCCCGCCAGGCAGGCTGTGCTGGAGACGGCTACAGTCACAGAAGACCCCTGAACTGTCTGACGTGTTTCTCCATTATACTTCCTTTCTTTTGAGTCTCTGACCTATTTTGGATCTAGTTTGGCCAGTGTTCAGTCACCTAAGGCTGTAATAGGATGAAATGAAGGATACCTCCAGGGAGCCATATACACCTGATTTTCCTCTCAGCCTGCAGACCTTGAGACAGAATTCAAGAAGTGAATCTATTCTTTGTCTGTCATTCACTTACAACTAAATACATAAATGTTCAATTTGGTAATTAGATCTCTAATAAAAATCAGCCAAACTAATTCAGAGATGGTTACTACTGCCTTCTTCCTATGTCCTTAACCAGTGGACAAACCTCTGGATGTAGACACTGACAACTGAGGGCCAAAAGCTTAATTCCGCATGCATTTCTCTAAGTCGACCCCCTTTCAAAAGTCCAATACTAATCTCTCAAGCAGCAAATTTTCTCAGCTTTCTAGCTTTGGCCAAACACCCAACAACTGTCTTATTATCGGAGACGACAGGCAATAATGAGTGTGGCCTGAGCCAAGCAACTGCTGCTTTGAGCTTTCAAAGAAAGAGCCTAATTAAAGGCCGCTTTGTGACTTTTGTCACTTTTTTCTGACTGGTGATTATAGGCCATTCATTGGGGAGGATTCGTCAGCTATTTGTGGGTGGCGCACACCATAAATATCATCTGAGCGCTTTGCTTATGTTGTGCCGAACCTGCATTTTCCCCCAGCGAGTCCCAAGATCCTTTCACTCTAATTTGCAGAACAAATTCCTTTACTTTCTGCAGAATCTCCTCGCGCTAATAAGGATGTCTCATCAACAGCAGTTCAGAGACAAATTAGGCTGTTTAAAAATGCAGACTCCTTGGTATCTTGTCTGTGATTTCCTGTAATGAAGTACTGGGGAGCAGAGTGTCCTTGGCACTGAGGACAAGTTCAGAAGAACAAGCCCTGTGCTCTTTGGAGCAGATTTGACAAATGGCAGAGCTATATTAGCCCTCTGCTGGTTTGAGTAGCTTCTAAAGCGCCCCTCCACCACTACTAAAACCATGCGTCTCCAAAAAGTGGCCTACTGTCTTATTTGGGCCAACTCTAATTGTCTCACTAATCTCTCCAGCATTAAATGACCCAGAGAAACTGCATCCCACAGGGCAGGCTTACCCCGCTGATTGGAGACTTTGCCTTTTGTTTTGCTTGGCATATTAAAACAGCATAGGCTGCTGATGGAAAGCCTACAGAACTATTGGAAATGTAATTAAGGGCTAGCAGCAGCTTTTAAACGGTTGACTAGTGCAGAAACAAACTGTGCCCCTCAGACAGCAAAAACTTTAATACATGGGAAATGAGTGGCTCAATCGATAAGCAGGGCTTCTTTTGTAGGGGAAAATTCAATGGAAGACAGAAATGGGCTGCTTCACTGCCTGCATACTGTTTCTCATTTTCCCAGTGGAGAGCAAAATTTTATGGCAATATTTGCTTCAAAAACAGACAAATAGAGACCTCTCTGTGAGATATAATAATTTGTCAAGTCAATTTCATCTTTCATTAAAATAAAAACAAATAGCTGCGGTAAACTGTGCCGGTTGCAATTGAATCACCAGTGTTTTGTGATATGAGACACAAAGGGGGAAAAAATTGACATCTCCCACACTCCTCAGGTGTTGAGCTGAGGCCGAGTTGAGAAATGCTCCAATCAAGCACAATTATTTGTTGAAGCCAAACACCACAGCCATTTCACATTGACAGAGAACAGCCTATTGTCCCGACTCCGCCAGACAATCGCATTCATCATAAACTGCCTCTAATTTGATACATTTTTTAGGCTGACATCTTTCGCAAACCGCTTTTCCAAACAAACTGGCCTATGGGGCGAGTGATTGAACAATTATCAGAAACAGATTCAGCAAGCCCCCACTGTGGCCTTTTGTCCCCGGCATCAGCTGGACGGCTGGGATCATTAGAAAATATTTTTCCTTGTGTTTTCTTTCTCCAAACCTCTGGCTTTGTAGCCTGCACACAAGCAGGATGGCACATCACCTTCAGAACTAGTAGGAGTCCATCCCTGGCTGTCTGTCAGTGCAGTAAAAAATAAAATAAAATACAACACCAAAGTCTATCAAACACTGTCTCACTGTGCTGCCTCTGATAAATATTCATGATAGCAGCTTGAAAACCAGCTGTTTTCCTCCAATTAAAGCTTGCAGAGATCCACCATTTTCGAAATAAATTGTTGCTTTTTTAATTAACAGCTTATGTTACTGGGCCAGAAAACAATGGAAACAATGCAGCACCCATTGCAAAGATTTATTTGTGTGGGACGGGATGAGAACATGTGGATAACAAGGCAAGGTAATGGTGCTGCTCTGTGCCCCTGGCCTACAGACCCCCAGCAGCTTCACGTGATGTAGAATACCCAGGGAAAGGCTGGTTATTATCCTATTAGACCCTATCAGAAGGATGTGACTGCTGCTGTGGTAACAGGTATTGAACATCAGCCCAACTAGCCGAGCGGAGCAGATCAAATGAAGTCATCAAAAGATCCTTCTCACATCAAAGCCCTGAGCAGACCTGGCCACGTGCCTGCCATACCAACAGTGTAGAAACAAAAAGCGTAGCAGCCAAGTCTGGCGTATCGCACAGACGGCGGCCCACTTCAAAGAGGGGGATCCGCTGTCCAAGGTCATTATTCATAGGTATACCCCAAAAACAGCAGTGGTCAACGAAGGCAAGCAGAGAAAAACCGCAGAGGACTTACCATCAGGAGGCTGAGCTGGTGTGAAGTGAGGAGGTTTGTCTGAAAGAGATAAAAGAAAAAAGAGAGAGAAATAGGTTTTTAGTTTTGGGTACATTCAGAGACTTCCCAGGGGTAAAGGGCAAGTAATTGAGTTGCTACAAAAAAGAGACACATTCTGTCTACAGGCTTGGCTTTTCTATCTAACACATTCTAATGCAGCGATTGAGCCCTGCAGGAGCGCAGCAGAACTAATCGACAGGAGTACATTTCAGCGATACCGGCACCATCTTTGTTTAGTCATTCATTGTTTTCTATGGTCTTCACATCCCAAACCACACCGCATGACTTTTGATATTACAAGGGCATATGAGAATTGAGAACACAGAGGAAGGGCTCTGTTTTTGTTTCGGGCTGAAAAGTGCGAGACAAGATTTAAAATTTGGTGACATCAGTGTAAACTTTCTCAGTGCCCAACCCCCACCTCCCCAGCAACCACATGCAGAATAAATCAGGTTTTTTTTCCCTTAATATATCAAATGACATCATGCTACTCTCCAGGTCAACACCCAGCAGACGATGACATAAGGCTTGTCAGTTTGTGGGAACCATAAAACGAGCTGTGGTGTCAAATGACTGAGTGTGGAGTAACACTCAGTGGAATAATCATGAAACCTGAGTCCTTTGCCATTTTGAAACCTTGATGCTATAAAATGAAGAAAATCTTGACCAAGCATTGTAAAATAGATCAATAACACTTTATGTAATGGAGGTGGATGAAGAGCTTGTAGTTGTTTTCAGCAGGGAAATAGGGGATGTTGTTAGTGACAAAACAAAAACCAAGCAACAACAGAATTAGGGCTTCAACCAACACTTATTGTTATTGTAGCTTAATCTGATGATTACTTTCCGATTTTACAACTCATTGTTTTACACTACAAAATGCCCAAAAAATAACAAAAAGTAAATTTCCCAGATCCTTAGGGGATGTTTTCAAATTGCTTATACTGTCCGACTAACAGTCTGAAACCAAAACATATTCAATTTACAACAGAAAGCGGAGAAAAGCAACTTTGGGTTTTTGTTCATTAAATTATTGATCACCTATTCAATTTGTAATAGATTCATTTTCCACTGATTGATAATTATGCAAAGAGCATACAAACGTTATAGGCATAAGGCAGTGGAGGATGCAAAGCTATAAGCAAAGTAAGGAGACTGGCATCAGGTAAAAATAGACAACATATGTACCAATACCACAAAAATAACGATCAGTTAGTACTAATCTACTGGGAGGATTTTGGTGTCTGTCTCTTTAATCACCAGGGGACTTCAACAAATGAACAGCGTCTTACAGACATGGTGTGCTCATCAAAGGCCATCATGACACACTGGTCACGGTGTACCGAGGCACTGGAGTACCAAGCACAATCCAACCAAACCACCATCTGCACTCTCGCAGTCAACTAGGCTGTCTGACTCAGTAAGCAGAGCCCCGGTGAGTTGTCAGAGCTGCCTGCGCTGAACAAACACAGCAACACACACAGAAAGGAAAGGATGTGCAGCCACCCAGCCATCTCTCCGATGTCTCTGTACTGTGAGGGATAATGAGGAAGATAAAACACATCACATCAATTACCCCGCTAACACATTTTTCCGGGTCCCCGTCAAACACTGAGCAGAAGCCTTTCTCAGGACTTCTGCGATACCCGTCGGCGTCCCAAGACACAGCTGAGTTTTAAATTTAGGCTCACTTAAAATTGCTTGTCAACAGCCGGGGCTTCGGGGGAGAGAGAGCGAGAGAGAGAGAGAATGAGAGAGAGAGAGAGAGAGAGAGAGAGAGAGAGAGAGAGAGAGAGAGAGAAGAAAAATGAGGAGAGGGGAGAGGCGAGGCTGGTGCTAGAGGTGAATAATGAAGTGTCTGCTGAAGCTGTTTCCCAGTCAGTCATGACGGTAACTGATTTCCATCTGGGGGGGATTTCAAGAAAACATATAAAATGAGGGGAACAGGAATTGGCATGAGGAAAATATAGAAATTCTGCTAAGTGTGTAAAGGAGCACACACAAACATACACAAAACCAGACATCCACACAGGCTGTACTTCTTGCCTGGCATGCGTAACTATGTCTGAACACACACAAACAAACATACACACACACAGGCATATTGTCGCACAAGGCAAATCAGAAAGAGTCTGACAGAGAAGGTGGCGTACAAAGTGAGCCGAGATGGCGGGAGAAGCTAAATGACTTCTTCACATTTCCATAATGAAAGGACAAGATAAGGTCTTTCCATAAACATATCAGCCTTTCCCATCTCCCTGTGCAGCTGGCAAAGCCTGCTTGAATTCACGTGCCTGTGTGAATGTCAAAACATGGCCATCATTCACCCTATATCTTCAACAAATCAATATGTGCCTGACTGTGACATTTAGCCATGTGCAGGAAGATGTGTGTGTGCATGTATCTTTGTATGTGTGTCACCTTCCCCTTTGGTGTGGCTGATGTATAGTTGCACAGAATGATAAAACGAGTGTGTCTGTGTGTGGGCTCTGTTGGCAAGCGCTAGGATTTTGGGGTGGGGGGTGGGGGGGGGTTACAAACTCTGTGTGTTTGTGTGTGTGTGTGTGTGTGTGTGTGTGTGTGTGTGTGCGGCCTTGCTTCAGCTCATATGGTGACAACAGAAATTGCGAATGAGGTTGCATGACTCCTCTCACACCCCTCCTCCCACCACACACACGTCACTGCTATGAGCGCTATCACTATCCTATCCAGCTGTCCTTGTGGCCGCATGGCGAGGGCTCTTGGCGGCGTAATAGAGCCTCTTTCACTCCATCAGATTCTCCAGTGCTCATTTCTTTTCACTCGGTCATCTGAGAGGTGAAGATTGGTCCGCTTTAACTGAGTTTGTATTAAATCTAATAGAATCTGTCTGGATGAAATTGACTCGGTAACATGGCAAGGTTACAAATGAACCACCCTCCTCCTTCTCACCTGAATCCACCAATTAGAATGAGAAGGAAAGACTTACAATGATGATAGAAAGACAGACTCTTTGAGAAATGCAAAGAGGTGCATCTAATGCAGTAGCATCCTTTAGGCTATGGGGACTTTGCCTTGCACTTGGCCGAAAAGTCAACAGCCTGATAACAGACTAAGAGAAATCAGAGAAAAGGGTTGACATGGAACAACAACCATGGCCGAAGAGTATTAACAGAACCTCTCAAATACCACTAACCCGAATTTGGCACCATGTAAATGACTGCTAAGACTGTGCTTTCTCTACTTATTTACTTATTACAACATCCTACAGTAAGTGATTATGTGAGTCTTGTAAAGCTCATTCTGGAGAGGTGAGAGGAATTTCAACTTTAACACAGACCAAACACAGACTAAACTGGCAACGTACTCAGAAATAGACTTGTATAAGTCTGTGAGAGAGTGAGGAGAATGAATAAGTCAGTGTTAACACAAGGCAAATAGTAAAAGAGAACAGCTGAAGGTGAGCTGTTGGTGATGTGAGAAAAAGGTAGCATATTGTGCTCAGGTGGACGGTGAATGTCATGTTGTGAAGGCAAACTATTGGCTACACTATTAGGCTAAACCTGGCATGCATAGGATTGAGCATTTCAATACTGAGTAGAAGCACCATCTAAAATTGTTGTTGTACTCACCACATTGGAACCAGTATTGAAAAATCTCAAATGATACCGAGCAGAGGGGTTAACAAAAGACTAAAACTAAAGCAATTACCTTTCCTGTTAGAACTGCTCTCAGAGAACTCTTTTACCCAAGAATCTACTGTGATGCCCACTATCTAACAGTTTAGATAGACCGGTAACTAAGACACACAAAGATAATGCCTTCGCCTCTTAATGAGCCACTGTAGTTTCAATATGACGGGAGGGGTTGGGGCTTTCCAGGCCAAAAGACAAATTTTCATCCTCCAAAGGCATTTAATCGCCATTTAATACTTCATCCCGCAGTTCAAAGCAAATGCCAAGTCTTTGGAGAGGAGATATGAAGCCATTTCACAAGCCTGCAGACACAGAATCAAGGAAAGGGGGGCTGTGACTTTAGCTGTCCTGATGTCCCTACTTCAAGTGCAGATAAGGCTGTCATGAGAGGTAAAGTGAGCCCGGTTTTGGGGCAGTATTTGTTTCAACAAGGACATTTCATGCAAAAAATATGCAGGAATGTGAAACGCAAAATAATTTCTTTCCAGCTAAATTCTGTCTGAAAGTCTGAGCCAATACTTTGAATTGGGTTTTTTGGTAAGCATTCTATTTCCAAGCAGTGACCCATACATTTATATGCTATGACAGTGCAGTAGAACAGAGTATAGTAGACTGCACTACAGACAGTAAAGTTGTGTGTTTCTGTCAAACCAACGTACAGTTGTTGAGGAACAGGAGCACGGCGAAGCCCAGTGTAGATGTGGCCAGCAGGATCAGACAGATGTTGCAGGGGATCATGAAGTAGCGCACCACCAGTGACACCTTGTGCTGGTACCTACGGTCCTGCTCCGGTGGTGGTGGCGAGGGATAGTGGCACCCACTCATGCTCCACTCCAATGACCCCCTCCCCTCCAGGGTGGAGGAGATGATGGGACGAGGAGGGCGACGAGGGGTGCCCAAAGACCCGTTGGAAAAAATGATGGCGGTGGGGTTAGGGCAGAGGATGAAGATGAAGATAAAATAAAAAGCAAAAAAATATGCGTAATGGTTTGTATTTCAGCTGCGGTTCCAGCTGTGCACCGTTGCAGAGACCCGGTGACTGTTTCTGTCAGAGAATCGCAGCAGCAAGCTTTCAGCGGTTTCCAAGCAACACATTTTTAGAGATAATAACATCCATTTGGAGAAAGAGGACAGACAGGGAGGACAGGGATGTTGGACTGCTACAGCCCCCCACCTGTCCACACGACCTCCATTCTGCTGTGCCCGCTAGGAAAAAGACAAACTAATGGGCTTTCACTGTGCGTATGTGTGTGCTGTGAAGTGGTTTATACTTACAGTGCGAACGTGTGTGTGGATTTAAGTGGGTGGTGATAGTGTGTTTGTAAATGTGTGTCAGTGCGCTTTTGGCATAAATGTGCCTGAGATGCACCTAAGTCAGAAATGTGTGTGTTAGGATGTGGGTGTCTTGGACTGTCAAATATCCACACGGAAAACTTCCAAGTAGATCAGCAGTAAATCCACAAAAGGAATCCCCTCCTTTCTTTCCAGAGACCCTGACTGGTAATTAGATGGACGTGAAAGGGGTCTTCCTCATCAAAAGCCTTTACAAACCCAGCCAAAGTCTGCTGCTCACCAACAACACGTGTCACAAGTATTTCCCTAAGAGGTGAGATCCGAGCATCTTTTTTAGGATCCCTGTGGCTGTTGCCTGTTAGGGCAATGAGGGTTCGCTGTTCTCCTGAGCAATGATTTGCCCAACGTGCCTCTAACGCAACACAACTGCTTCTTTGTATCCACCGGACTGGCTCCTTTGGTTTATGATCTGGGAGCTTGTGTCACGGTCAAGAGATATACGACCAGGGCACGTAAGATCCGTCCGAACCTGACACCGTCACTAGAGCAACTTGTATCTGTTGTAGCGTGATTAGCAGGATGGCCGGAAAGCAGCTGGCTGCCTCTCGCCAAACCATATGCTCTTGGGTTCACGGAGAAGGTTTGTTTTTCCTCCCCTTTTCTCCTGCGCGCCTGCCACTGCTCCTCGGTTCAATAACCTTTATTCCCGGCCGGTCTCATGGAGTGGGTAAGCAGCTGCCCCCCACTCTTTTGGTTGGCTGGGGCCGTAAGCAGGTCAGAAGAAGTGGCGGAGAAGGGACAAAAAGTTGGGAGAGGAGAACGATCGCAATCCCCACTCAGCCTGTCAGTGCAGAGCTGTCTTCTATCCCAAGCAGCTACGGATGAGCAGCACAACACAGAGAGACTCTAAATGAATACACTCATGGAAAGAAAGGGAGAAAAACCTGTGTGTGATCAGAAATCAACCAAGAAGCTCGAGGCGGAGATTTGTTGGGCTTTCTTCCCTTGTGTCAGCCTCCTGACAGGGAATCCCAACCAAATAATGAGAGGAAAAGGTTCTCATTGCGTCCTGATCCTTGTAAGGCTTAGGTTGATTTAGCTCCCTCTATTTTTTTTCCTTTCAGGAAAGAACTTGTCCAGTCTTTCCTTTCTTTCTCTGGTTTGTCGTCTCTCTTTTATGTGCTTCCTCAAGCATCCAGTCCCTTTTTCACTGGGTTGTCTTACTCCAGAGGCGCTCCCAGTGTCCTGGACGCAACGATTTATTGCACCAGCTTCTCCTCAGTGGGGTTCCAACATTCACTGGCAGCCAAAACAACAAATCAGGCTCCGGGTATTCATAGCGCGCTTAATCCCCAGGCAGCAGGTAGTGGTCCCAGTGTCAGCGCACTCAGCCAGCTGAAGAAGCAGGGTTGGAGTGAGTCAAAGAGAGAAGTCATCGGACAGACACGGTATGTACAGAGACAGGGGAAGTAAACGGGAATGAGAAGGAGCGTTGCCAAAAGGAAAAGCAGCTCCTGACATTTCGTTTTTTTTCCCCTTCTGGAGAAAACAGCAGCGGCGTGTCGCTGGTTTCCCAAACACTCTCCTCCTGAGCGCTCCTCTCTCAGCCCTCAGCCAGCAGAACGGATGAGCGCATAATGAGAGAGCGAGTGAGATAGTGCAAGAGAGAGAGAGAGAGGTGGGGGGAGTGGTTGAGGGGCCGTCTTTAACAAAGGCAGAGGGGGAGGAGGGGTTGGAGTTGGGTGAGGGAAAAAAAAAGAAAATGAGCGAGAATAAAGGCTTTGGGGAATAGTACTCGAGTCCTGTCAGAGTAGGGAGGGGGGCAGCAACAGTGCACCAGCAAAACAAAAGAGGGCCACAGTCTTGGGAGATGTCAACCAACTCCTCCATTTGTTTATAGCCTAATCAAAAGAAAGTCTCTTCCACAAGAGCTGGAGAATTTCCACAAAGATTTAATGAGGCAAACTGAGAGAAAATAGGCCTGTGGAGGGAGGGAGAGAGCAAAACTTAAACACATTAAAGTCAATCTCATATTGAGGCTCTCCAAACAGCCTAACTCACTTGTTTTTGACCGATATGCGTAACCAGCGCAGAAATAAGCCTGAGAAACTTCACATGCGTTCCGCACTAATAAGCCAATATTCAATTAATTAACAGTCCCATTTGGACCCTTTTTTGTCTAACCCATATTACAACTAGGAATAGGTTGCTTTTTTCCTTTACTGTTTTAAATAATATGGCCAAAAATAAATATTCAGCAGATCTGGCAAATGATCTGAGGTGGAAACATTTCCATCTATTTCATAGGATGTCATTTTTTTTAAAAGCAATGCATTATTGCTCTTCTAATGGGATAATGAGGTCAGAATGGAGGGGTGGTTACGCTTTGTTTTAGCAAGACCCCGCATCAATATCTACTTTGAACAAACTCAATGGCAGCAGGCGGCAGATGCAAGGCGGTATCTATCATCAATTATTTATGGTTTTTTTCACTCTCTCTATCTGTGTCTCCATCTCTGCCGTTCAATCCCCCCACTCTGCGCTTTACGCAGCGAACATACACACTGGCGGCAATGCACACAGTGGCTGCGTCCACAGAGGAATTGCATGGATGCACACACAATTGGCATTTCTGTCTGATAGAAACTAGCACATACACACAGCAAAATGGACCCTTCTGTCTGATTGCAGCCTACAAAGGAACACAACTTGAACACAAACTCATACTACAGTACACTCTCACTCACACTGACATCCTCACACACACACACACACACACACACACACACACAACACACACAGGTAGGTGATCTTGGTTCCCCCCAAAAGTAATTTATCTTTTTGGACAGTGTGTTCATTCCCAAGCTTAAGCTGAGCTTTGTGGGGGAGCCAGGTTTTTAGACTGCCTGCTGAGGGTCAAGAGTTCACCCCAACCTCCCCCCAATCATCAGCAAAACCACCCACCCAGAGGTGCCTCTCCCCTCTATGCCCTTTCCAGACACGATACCCCAGACAGTCCACATCAGCTCTCACATTGCATAACAAAACCTGATTGATGGATGAACTGAAAAGAAAAAGGAAACAGCTGCTGTCTTATTTGCTGCAACTCTTTTGTCTCCCTTTTCACTTTTATCTCTAACTGTGTTTTTATCATCATGCTTATTGTCTCAATGAGTAAGATAATCAGGTGCAGCAAGAGGTTAAAACAATTACAATTCACAGTGCATAAAACAGCAAAATCACAACTTGTGACCATGAATGAAATACCAAATTCTCCCAGCAGAGGGTGCTGGGGAGTCAGCCCGGCACTCTGTTCTGCTGCCACGACCCAAATAAGATCTTCCATCGACATCAAAGCTCAGCTGCTTTGATCCATTTTTAATGCCACAAGTATCGCACAAGGTTAACATCTCTCTCTCAAGGCTTTGAAATGGCAATTTCCATTAATAAGCCAAAGGGGCTGCTCTCTTGTTTAATGGTCTGGCAGGAGTAAAAGTTGATATGTGTGCGCACATGCACATGTGTGCTATTCTTTATGCAGAGGGTGAGAAATTTGTCAGGTTCAATGACTGATGGACAATAATGCTTCAATCAAGTGTGCGTGTGTTTGTGTGTGTGCAGCCCAGCACACATCCCGGGCTTCTGGCTGGCTGGTGTTGATCTAATTGATTTAAGAGAAAACAGTTGTTCCCTTTGCTGAATGACAATTTCTCCTCCAAAAGGCCAAAGGGATTATCATGTGAAAAAGAGACTATTACCACTGAGATCTACCTTTAAAAGAACAACCGACATCAAGTATAGATGGCAGAAATGTTCTCTGTTTGCATCATCTTTATATATTTGACGTTACAAGCTACTTTCCGGCTGCACTGCCACAGGGTCATGGGTCTGATATATAGTAATATTTTTGAAATTACGCAATGATCGATGGTATCCACTCTGCACTGTTTTGTATCTAAAAGCACTTTATCAGTGTGGGGTCAGCGCTCTGGCATAAACAGCAGATGTGAATCTGTGTGTATTTTCTACTTTAGCTAAATGTACCAATTCTCTAAAGATTTAGGTTTGAAACATTTGAAAGGTATAAACTATGCCTACCCTCTGGCCAAGCAAAACCCAGTCAACATATGAACAACCTCCTCCTAAAGGCAGCAATCAAAGAACTAAATATCAAATTTGCATTAACAACATTTTAACTGTCGTGCTGATTCACAGAGAATAACTTGTCAGAGATGGTAAAGGTGACTGAGCACCCAAGGGATGAATTTCTCAGGAAACTGCCTTTTCTGGTTCAGAACTGATAAAATGAGTACAAAATGAAGTCAATCAACCTATTTCTATGACCTTACATGCTTAGTTTGACTTTGATTATAGTACTTTCCCAAGCTCACTGCCAGAGAGCTAGTCTGGATTATGAATAAGTATGAGTTCTATATCTGAATCTTTCATCAAATAATCTGTTTAGGGAAAACTGTGTGTAAAGATCTATCGCTAAATGTGACAACAACGGCTTGTGTGAAAAAATCCCCCAAAAACATCCCATTAGAGTGGGACTCGGCCCATTTTTCAAAGCAGGAGCTATCAAAAGCGGAGCTGTTTCTTTCACTAATGGCATTAGAGATCATCCTTTCCTGCTGTCCATTGTAAATGAGGGTTTTAATGATGTTGATGAAAAGAATAAAGTCTGTTAAAATTTAGAACGGATTTGGTAATTGCCTGCACTAAAGCCTGTCTGCTGGCCCACTCAACTATTCATGTGCGCTTCATTTCCAAGATAATTCACTGTAATATTTGTCACGTTGTGTTTTATTTTGTTTTGATGTGTGTGTATGTACAGATAATGAGAAATCTGCTGCAATGAGGGTTATTTCAGCCAATGGCATCTCAATGTTCAATCAGGGCCAACTGACAGTTATTTCCTACTATGTATTTGTATAGCCCTGCTGCTCCATACTACACCAGTGAAGTAACACTTCTTATAAATGTATCTAATTCCACAGTGTACTATGTATTCAAGGCCACAAATTCCACTTTCAGGGACATTAGGTCGACATCAGAAGGCCATGTTGAATTCTTCATGTGCATCGAGCCGTGCAGCCAGGCTGGTGGAGGGAAGCCCAGACTCTTCACCCAGTGGGCTACGTCAGTGAGATGCTAGCAGGTGGGCCAATTGTCTCGCTACGGTATTAACTCCAATCATCATAAGTCAGACTTTGCCGCAGCATCCAACAGATTCCCAGACTTCCCAGTCATCAGGCCTTTGAACCGAGCAGAACTCCTCTAGCAGCAGTGCGACCAGGGCCTCGCACAGCTGTGCACAGCTAACGGCATTAACCTCTAATGAACTGGGACTCAAGAAAAAAGAGTGGGAGGTACAAGGACAGATGATGATGAGGGATGAAAACAAGATGCTTCTCTGAGAAGTGTATTCATGACAACCAAGCATCGATACCACAACAAAAGACCCAAAATTATTTTATTTTGGAAAGGTTTGAGACTCACAATCTAAAAGCTGAAACTACAGATGGCTCAGCTATAGGGGACAGACAAATTAAAAGAAGAATAAGCCTTTATGTCTTAGAACGGTGTTGGGCCACTACAAGCCACCAGAACCTTTTTTGCCTTTTTGACGTTTTGATGATTGAGGTGAAGATCACTGTCTAATTAAGTGTTCTGACAGCCTTGTACAAAAGGCCGGATTGATCAACAGATCCATGGCTATGGGCAAGGATGTTCCAACCATGTAAAATGATGACATCACAACAATTGCATGTGTTTGTCTGGCAATCACAGTGCATGGTGTTGCATTGCGTTGCAGAAAAAACTGAGACCAGTCCAGCTTTGTTGCCAGATGGCCTTGTGTTTGTGCTTGAGCACAACTCATTGAAATGAATGAGGGTCTGTCTGAACACATCACTCCAAAATCAGTTCTGATGCTCAGTTCTAGTGACCGTGAAGGCCATAGCATATGAGTCACATCATTTCATACTCATCAAACCCTTCAGAGCCCTTGTGTCTTATATGGAAGCTTCTGTATTCCTTATATTTCTCCAATCATATATTTGGGTGTTTCCTTTAGTTTACAATCAGTTTGTCTATATGTATCATAATAGTTAAAAGGAGGACTCAAACAGACATGGATGCGGTATGGCTCTCGCTAAACCCTACACACCAAACCATTAAAACCCCTCAAAACGGTCCACCATGTCTTCAAAAAATCTAAATTTTGCATTCATGACAACACTATTTCTGACTCAGTGGATGATGGTACTAATGTGCAGCACTGATGTAAGTGTGAATGAGAGAGTTCCCACACTGGGTGGGCTCCACACATATGTGACTCACAATGTGACACATCGTTCAGTATCTGGTGTCAACCTGGGTACACATGGGTAAGCTATGACGCTGAAAGCAGTGAAATGCAGCCCACAGCTGAACATGAATGTGCACTCGGGTCATCTTGAAATCTGGCATGTAGGTACTGAATATTGGCCGTTAGCCTGATCTGTGTATATTGATTTTGCTTAGACTGTTAGTCAGTCCTCCAGCTGATGCCGTTTAGCCCTCTACAGAGGAGCCTCCAGTCAATATGATCCACCTGTCCACACTCAACACTTTTGGCTACATTAGCCTCT